CCTTTTTGCAGAGACAAAGTATGGTCAGTGTTGCAACCGCACGGTTCTCTCCTCAGCATACTTCCTTGCATAAGACGCCCTTCAATTTTTAGCATAAGGATTTTAGAAAAAAGTATCGTCTTATAGTCGGAAAAATACGGTAGTTGTATCTCCTTTTAATCAATTGTACTTATTGACAATTGTGAGGTACAGTTACTGGCCTGTTTCCAATTGAAAAGTACAAGAACTTAAAGGGAATATACTGATTCAGGGCACCCTTTCACAGAAACAACACATTTCCAAGTATTTTAGAATCCTAGACTATGTAGAAAAACGTACACTGTAGCATCACTTGTCTATGACAAATACCATGCTGACCTACTTATAAACATTCAGCAAAGGTAAACTGGAAAAGCAGAGACTTCGTATCAGCATTTGCCCCCAGACAAAACCAATTGTTTTTCTTATTTTTGCACGATCCATTATTAATAATTAGCCCGTTCCTCTTCTTTTGCAAATCATTCCCATTCCCACCTTACAAATCAAGGTAACACACATACATCCACATGCACCTCTGGTGATGATTCTGGGTAGCTAACAATAGTTAAAAGTACCATAAAATATATAATAGTAAAAAAGCACATACATATAATCAGCAGCCGAGTAAAAACAAAAGCACTACCAACAAATCAACATAATGGGCTCTGCTGCCCATCCAGATTGGGTGACAAAACCACGACTTCAAGACCAGCAGGGTCAGGCCAATTTAATCTGGTGGCGGGGGGGGGGGAGGATTTAAAGGGCAGCAGGTGATTCAGAGCACACATGGCTGTAAATGTAGCAGCTAAAAGCAGCTGATGCTTCTTGGCTCACATGGCTGCCCTCTGCAGAGAATATGCAATCCCATGAAAAGACCCTTTTGCTTTAAGATGTTCAGAACAGATGCTATATGCAGGCCCGTGTGCCCTCTGAATTACATTTTGCCCTTTGAAGTTGGATAGTTGCCCAGTGTATGTAGACGTTTCTACATATCCACATATCTGTTCTACAGATCAGATATTACCTGCCCTCTTCGGCATCCAGTGGTTTCTGAGAAACGTTCTAATAAGGCACATGTTTTTGGAACACTGTTGCAGGCATTCTCATTTTTTCTTCCTAGAGTGAAAGAGGAAAAGGAAAAGAGGAAAGAGGAAAAAACATAGTTTAAGCATAGGTAATCTGAATTTCATACCCCCAAATCTAAGTATACAGGAGATTTGAAAATGTCAGCTCCGTAGGAGTTTGAAAAAGATTAAAAGTGTAATCATCCAAAAACCCAGTGGTGATTGATCCTAATTCAATTGGCCTCCATACCTAAGTACAGAAGGTGGAATACTTTTGTCTTTCTTTTTATGTATAATGTAGTTCATAACTCCCTAGTGATCACAATTAGCATCCGTCTAGAGCAGGGGGCAGGGGTGGGCAACTTTTTTTTCTTTGAAAATAATTTTGGCTTGGGAATAAGTGGTACAGATTTAACATCAGGCTGATTACTTTATATGTTGTCATGATATCTATGGATATTTTATAATGAATTTTCCCTGATCCCAGTGAAAATCATTGCATACCCCCCAGCATACTCCACCTTTCACTGCATTGAGAGGGAAACATTGTGGAGCTCTTTGAGTAATGCATTAAGATATAGGTTCAAATTTATACAGAAACAAAGTTCCCTGAGTGACTTTGGTCCAGTTATGCACATACACTCACTCTCCCTCCCACTGTCTCTCTTACAGCCTAATTTGCCTAAGCTGGTGTTGTGAAAGAGACTGATGTTCAATTCCCTAAGTAAATCCAAAGAAGGATTCCATAAAAAATATAAGTGAAGTTCAGTGTCCTTTTATGACAGTGGTGATGGGCCCATGATTTGCAGAACATTAATCTTCTGAACTGAATATTATGACCAACCTAAAGGAAAGCTTATGTTGTAAGTAGACCTGCAGGGGGAAAAAAACAATAGCTATTTTATTATTTTCCAGCACCCCAATACAAGTCTTATACAGCATCCAGGCTTTACATTACCCTGATAGGTACATTAAAAGAGCCATGTCTCATTTTAATTACAAATGACAGAATTGCATCTCACTTGTAACATGAATATATCTCTTCTTTGACAACCCACATTCCCTCAGGCCACTTTGTATTCGTGTACCATCCACTTAGTTAGGTGTAAACCAAGTACAAGCTTTCTACATAAGGGAAATGCAAAAGTATACCTTGCAGATACATGCAGAAATGAGGATTTTTTGTTTTTTAAAGAGAACCCTTTAAATATTTTTTAAAGCTGCAAAACGTAGCATGCTAAAGGTACAAAAATAATTCTGGGAAGTGCCCCAAAGCCATTCAGTCTTGCCCTCTTTCTCACTCCCCTGCCTCCCCCCTTCCCTGGCATGATAAAAAAAGAACCAACTACCAGCTTCAAGTGGAAGTCTTTATTTTACTTAGACTTTGATAAAAAGTTCAAAAAAGAAAGCTTCATTTTATGTGATTCTTTCCAGAGGCTAAAATAATTTACATGCAGCTCATGAACAGATTTCCAGCCAGGCAATGACCAGGCTTTTACCTCCTTAGCTTATATTAAGTACAGCCATGCACACTTCAGAAATGATTTCGAAGAAGTCCTTCTTAATTATGACTCTTAATGCAGTAACCCTTTTCTTCAGGCTTGGATGGAAGCCTGAAAAAAAGACAGGCTCCTTAAAGGGATAGCTGGAGGGGTGCTGATCTTGTATTTGTGGGCAATCTGAAATAGTTCTTCTGAATCACTTTAAAGTACTCACAGCTCTAACATTAAGTGCCCTGAAGTCCATCCCCAGAAAGCCAGAAGCATGGCTGCAGATTATTCAGCTTCAGAAAGATAAACCAAGAAGTCCAGTCACAAAACCAATTAAGTGGGTCAGTAGCCAGGTAATTCCTTTACGATCTCAAAAGGGGTCAGTTACAGTTTTGTTTTATCAAACTGAGTAATTTTTTCACTTGATTCAGCCAGTTGCTGTTTTTATTCTTCTTTCTCTCTCTCTCTCTCCCTGCAAATATTATGTGCTTTGAATGTAGTTGGATCCTAACTTTTGTTCTGTGAACAGAAATGAGTTTGCATACATGGAAGAGATGTTCCCATCTTCCTCTTCCCATTATAACCTTGGTTCGACATGTTTAGGATCCTTGCAAATGGCATGGGGCTTTTAATGGGAGGAAGAGTTTTGGTAATAGCCCTCTCCTCTTACATGAAGAAAAATTAAGAGTTCAAGCCAGTGTGTTTATTTTATTATGCATATGTTATTAGCTTATAGCTGGCTGCTCTAATGTTTGGTGAGGAAAGGTGGAGTATAATATTCTATATTTCACACATTAAATAACTCGATTAGAGTTAGATGTCATGAAGTGGGATTCAACTTCTTGTGATTGCATGGGGAAATGATCACCAATTTGTCCAGTCTCTTGAAGCTTTTCTAAAGACAATCCTGTATTCTTTTGATCCCACCCATCTACTTTATTACTGGCTTCTCTTTCTTGTACTTCGCTCAACCTTGCCAAGAACAACCTTGCTTGTATCACATGCCTAAAGTATGTGAATTTCAGCTTTCTGACCTCAAGGGAGTACTCAATCTTTATCTGGTCCATGACTGGATGTTCTCGGAGTCTATCATATTCTCAGTGACCATCTTCACATCAATAATTCAAATATTATCTTCTTTGTCTCTTTCTCAATGCCCAACTTTCACAGCTATTCACTAACATAGTTGGAAAGACCACTCTTTTAAGTATTCTGATCTTTATTGTGCTAGAAGCATCCTTATCTTTCATTATCTTGTTTGACATTGCCTTCCTTCCTAGGACTAGACTGCACTTTTCCAGTACACTTTTCATTTTTTATCTATACCAGAGCCTCCCAAAATGAAATTATCTACTTTTTTGACTTCTTCATTAATTAAGCTGGTTGACATGTTTCTTTTCCTAATATTTGATATTAACCCAGATTTTTCATTTTCCATTTTTACATCCATAATGTAAAGATAAAGACTTTGACATCTCCTTTACTTTTAGTTAACAAAATGGAGTTATCTGCATATTTCAGAATATTAGTGTTTCAGCCTCTCATTTTAATTCAGGCTGTTTTTTTCTCCCAATTCTGCCATTCTTATAATATATTTCCTATACAAGTTAATCAGATATGGGAACAAGATGCATTTCACTTCCTATTCTGAACCAGTCTGTTTCTCCAAATCCAGTTGGTATAATAGATTCTTATTCATGTAAGAAGAAGAATCAGATGTTCTAGTATACCCATTAGCCTTCATATATTCTACATTCTGGCATGATTTACATAAAGGCTTTCCTTACAACATTAAGACATATTATTAAAGAAGAAATGTAGATCTGATCCATGCAGTAGAATAAGTATGGACTTTATTATTTAATCCTATTACTACAAAGTTTACTATGGTTATTTTGAACCATTGTTTTTTGAGTTCAGGAAATTCCTGGATGCCAATCCAAACCTATGATTGCTTTTGGTTGTACTAAGAATATTTCCATTTTGCTTCTGAAATGTGATATATTGTACAATAGTCCATTTCTGTTTTGGAGTCCCCCATAAGATCTTTCTTTGTGGGCAACATGTTTATTGTAGCTATATTTTGGGCTCAAAGTATTAATTAACCCTGTAGAATAGAAGGCATGCTATTTTTTATTTCACTACATTTAGCAGTAATTTACATTATCAAGCATCCATGCCAATTACTTTATGTAGGCAAAACCATTCGACAATTAAAAAAGAAAAGCGGCAATCATCTGTGGAATATAGACATAAATATGCAAAGGCTCCTTTAGTTAAACATTGGTAAATGTATCAGCACACTATATTTCAGACTTTTTCCTTTTGGGCCTTAGAACCCACATCAGGGTGTGGAGACAAGGCTCTTCTTTACACGTGATGGATATTAAGATTAAAATCTTTGGTTTCTAAAGGCATTAATGAAGGCCTCAGTTTGACAATTACTCTGATCATTTTGTGATTCGATATTTAGATATTTAGATATATTGTTTATTTTTTACATTTAGAGTTTGGCACTATAATTTTTAAAAATGTATTCTATTATCTATAGGATTATGGTCTTGAACAGTCTTTGTACTCCATTTCCAGTAATCACACACACATTGCACATGAATTGTTCATCTCTTTCTATAATTAATGGGCCATTACTTAGTATACTAAGAGTTTGAGTGTATCTTTGCTTTAAATGCCATTTTATAGCACTCTGTGGGTTATATTATTGCTTTTTAATCAGAGGCTTATCTTGGGAAATGTTACATATATTTGTTTAATCTTTAGAACAGAATTGTATGTTTATATACTTTGTGTAATTGGAAACATTTTAATATTATTGCCAAGAGTGGGGTAATAGCTTGCTTTATTGCTTTTATTTTGTTAAATTTCTCTAATTCATTTGGACTTATTACTTACTGAGACACATACACATATATGAAGAAAACTTTTGTTTTTGTTTTAATTTATTAATAGTCTTTTCCTTTTTAGCTTTTGCATTACTTTACAAAATTCCATCATCATCCCTGTTCTATTCCATAGGTATCTACCTGTTTCATTTTCATGAGTTACTATGCTATTCATGTGTATTATAATGTTGATAGATATATTGTAAAGAAGCAAATGCAAATCTCTGTCTTGTATTCTCCTCCATTATTCATCTTATGTTAGCTACCTGATCCTTTGCCTTTTATGACACTTATCTGCTTTTGGAATTCCTCTCTCTGTATATTGCTCCATTTTTCTTTGTAAGAACTTAACCAAAACTTTGCTTATGTGAGAAATTAGCTTATTGACTCACATTCACTTGCAATTCCCTTCTTCAGTATAGTTATATGCACTGCTTTCTAATCTCTAGGCCACACAGTCTTTTTCCATATTTGTTGACATATAGCTATGTGTACTTTAACTGCCTTTTGCAGCTTTAAACAATTCAACTTGATACTCCATCTGTGTCTCATATTTTCCTATTTGACACCAGGTTTATTATCTGTAGACCTCTTTAGCAGAGTTAGTTCCTGAATATATTATCTTTCTCTGCAAAAGTTTCTGTAATTCTATAATCCCATTTATAAAGGAGTTCATTACAGTCTTTCCAACTTCTTTCCATCTTTTAATACATTTAATTTTATTTGTCTCTATTTCATCGCTTACATGATTACTCAAGTATTTGTCTTACATAGATAGCTGGTAGAAGCCACAATAACATTAAAATTATATTGTGTTTATGACATAAGTATATGGGATTGCTTGGCCTGCATCCATGTTACCTTAGCTGTAAATTTTCCTGTAATTTCTTATATCAACTTAAAACTTTTCCTTTTCTTGTTATTTTCCTAGTTTTGTTGACAATGATTGAGATTATGCTTTGTTCTGAGTTTCTTTTATTAAATTGTAAATGTTTATAGTTTGTTTTTTTCTTTTAGTCCCAACTCAAGTATCCTCTAGATAATAATGACAACACTAAGAATAATAAGAATAGTAATTCATACACTCTGGGTCAATTTGCAATTAAGTAAATGTAAGGACGCTACTGTCCTTCCATGAAGATTTCAATGATATTGTCTTCTATTGGAAAGAAATAAAAAATATTCCATTAAACTGAATGTGAACTAATAGAAGAAATGCAAAAAAAAATTGTTTCTGCTCAAGTCAAGTAATAATTGTAAGAGCAGCATGGCTCTATGAAGAGCATCTTTCCAAAAAAGCCCACAAAAATTAGTGATGTCATTACAGTTTTCATTATCCTGATCTTTAGCATCCCAGAAAAATATTTTCCCTTTAACCTTTCAGTTGCTCCCCTTTGTTAGCATAGAAAGGGAACAATAGAAGAGACAAGAAAAGTAACTACTTGCATACCTTGCTGCCACAAAGTGAACTGGCTCCAGTCACCCTTCTCCCGCAAATTCTCATCTTCTGGAAGAAAGAGGCCTTTGCTTCTATCCATTACAGCAAGTCCTTCATCCCGGATCACCTTCCAGTTTTTTTCTAAGGTCTAATAAGACAAAAGATCACATACATTGCATATTCTTTTAATTATTTATTCCTCAAAATTAAACATAGCCTCACCAGTCACATCATGGTTAAATAAGAGCCTCTTTTCCATTTTCTACCTAGTTAAAGTTTGAAACAAAGACTAAACCTCCTATAGTTTCTCAGTTTCAACTACCTTTGTATCATAACAATTCCAATAATACCCAAACGCTTACCACGAGGGCTTCCACTTTCATTTGCTTTTGATTTACTAAGGGGGGGGAGGGTTCACTTTGTGGACAACTCTGTGATGATCATTCAAGCTTATGCTCCAACCACTGATGCAAAAGAAGAGGAGGTTGATGAGTTTTGTGATCAAGTCCAATTTGAAATTGACAGAACATGCAAGCAAGATGTGCTGCTTGAGATTGGTGACTGGAATGCCAAAGTTGGAAACATGAAAGAGGAAAATGTAGTTGGATTGTATGGTTTAGGAAACCAAGATGAAGCAGGAGCATAAATTATCAATTTATGCCACTCCAGTGATTTCTTCATAGTTAACAATCTTCAAACAACCAAAATGACACCTCTGTACATGGACATCACCAGATGGAGTATATAGAAATCAAATTGACTATATTATTGCT